GGTTCATGGGGTCACGAAGAGTCGGACACGACTTAACGACTGAACAACAACAACAACCTGGTTGCTTCCCAGTATTTAACTGTGTCTCCCTTCTGTCACATCTACAATGTGCCAGCAAGGACTGGAGGGCCTGTGGGATTCATACCCAAGGCTTTGGGAAGCTACCTGTGACACTGGACGTTCCTGAGAGGCCCCTTGCTATAAGCCAGTCTTCTTGAATCCAGCATCTTCCAGCTGCACCAAAGCCCTGTGTTGAGCCAGGTGTTCATTTGGATACAGATGTTATGTGAACATGGCAATGGGGTCTTGCTAACTCACTGTGGCCTAGTATGAAGAGTTGGGCTGGAAGTGGGAAGACCAGGTTCAAGTCCATCCTCAGCCACTGAAACTCACTTGGTGACTTTGGCCCAGTCACTCTCTCCCCAACCTACCTTGCAGGGCAATAGTTATTGGAATATAGTGAAGGGAGATCCCTATGTAAGCTGCTTTGTGGCAGAATATGCATTTAATAAAGAAATAACAATAGCCTAGGGTGAGAGTTTATCATCTGGCGTGAACATGGCCACCACTTTCAAAGGCAGAGAATGGAGCGTTGGTGGCAGCAACAGAGATGGGGAAAGAGAGATGGAAAAGCAGGCGTGGAATAGCCTGAAAAGGAGCACAGCTGGTTAGTAAGATCATAATTGGGACCATTCCTCAATGCAGGAACATCTGGGGGAGGTAAAAAAAGCCAAGATTTTGACCTGCGGATGCCTCTGCTTCAGTGTAGTGGCTGCCTGCAAGAGGTCTTCAGAAACAGGCAGTTCAAGGACATGCTGGTGGTACTCCACCCCACAATCTGCTCTATGGGTCTTCCTCAAAGTGTGAATGGCGGGGGACACGCCATGGTTTTGGAGGTGAGGCCTGCTCTGGGTTCCATTCCAAAAAGTCCTGGTGGGACCAGGTCAAATATGGAAGGTGATGAGGACATTGCACTGATATTTCATAGAGCTCATCTGCTTATCTTCAGTTATGTCTTTCATGGGTGACCAGTCTGGAAGATCTCTAAGGTTTGTGTGCCTCTGCCTGAAAGGACCCCCGAAGGTTAGTGAGGGGGAGACGTGGTTTGCTCTGGTTGGAGGGCAAGTGTTCAGAGAGATCAGAAGAGCCCCACAGGCCAGATCTTCGCTGGTGAGCCTTTCGACCCTCCCAACCTCCCTTTCAGAACCTTACTTGGTGAACGAACTGGAGAAGAGGCCGATGAACGCTATGGCGGCTCCTGAGGCGGCAGTGGTCCGGCATCCGATCCGGTCGGTGAAGATGCTGACGATGGGAGAGCAAAAGAAAACCATTCCCATGCCGATGGATCCAACCAAGGCTGCAGAGGAGGAAAGAAAGGAAAGGTGGTGTCATCCATGGTGGCCACCCTCTGCAACAGGTCAGGAAGCGAGGGAGAACCCCAGGCTGGTGTGGTTCGAAGAAGAAAAGCACGCTGGGTCTTGGGCTTGAGAGCAGAAGGACAGACGTCTGGCTCCACCTTTAGGGTCCCCTCCTTGGAAGCTGGACCTTGCCTATGTTCCCGTATCATATGACGCCCATCAAGTGTCTGGTTTGGTCCTGGCTGAACGTGTGGTGTGGACTTGGCTGTTACAGCTTTCAAAACACAGTTCAGGGTTTAATGTTCTCTGTGAACACAGCCATTTCGGATATATCATGGCCAAGCGAAGTAACCAGGGTGAACCCAGTGGCTTTGCAGACTTGTAGTTGGTGTGCAGTGTGACCTCATCCGCTGTGTTTTGTAAACCATGGTTTATTGCCCAGCATATTCATATATAAGCAATCAGGCCTATTTAACAAACTACCATTTTGCAATTTACGGCTGAGAGCAATACCAGGCGCCTGTGAGGTCTGTGGGATCACAGCTCCCATCCGCCCACCCAGCACATCCCTCGAAGGCCAGGGGCATCTGTGCAGAAGTCAAAAAAGGCAAGATGGTGGCTGCGACCGTGCCTCTTGTCTACCCTTCTGACTTGCTCCATTAATTATTTTTAAAAATAGGGAATAAAAAAATAAAATAGGAAAAGGCAGTTAGAGACCCTACCCCTTTTGATGTATATGGCATATGTCAGGGTTCCTCAACCTTGGCAACTTTAAGACAGGTGGACTTCAACTCCCAGAATTGAAGCTGGCTGGGGAATTCTGGGAGTTGAAGTCCACCCGTCTGAAAGTTGCCAAGGTTGAGGAACCAACTCCCAGAATTGAAGCTGGCTGGGGAATTCTGGGAGTTGAAGTCCACCCGTCTGAAAGTTGCCAAGGTTGAGGAACCAACTCCCAGAATTGAAGCTGGCTGGGGAATTCTGGGAGTTGAAGTCCACCCGTCTGAAAGTTGCCAAGGTTGAGGAACCCTGGTGTATGTGATGTACATTAAGAAAAAAGCAGGGCTTTGTTTGCATGGTCGTAGCCATCTTGACTTTTTTGACCTCCTCCTGCAGATGCCCCCGGGCTACATTTGGCATTTGAGGGGTGTGTCAAGACCAGCAAAAAGCAATGAGTGCATTCTGGACAAAAACAATAGTTAGGGTTTTTATTTTTTTATTTCATCTTCATGCCATGTCTTTAATAATTCCTCAATTTCCAGTCATATATTTAATGATTCCTTAATGATTCCTGTGTGGGTGTGTGCGTTACTAGTGACACTATATTTTAACTTATTATCTTGCTTCTAATTGGCTGGATTATAATTGCAATACTCTGCTTTTTCTACAAGAATGTATAAATCTTTCACCTTTTGCAATAAGCCCCGTCAAATCCTAGGATGCCTACAGCGAGTATTTGGCTCATTACAAATTAGTTTAAAATTACTACACTGTCTTATAGATCCTCCTATTTCATATGCCTTTTTAACATTTTTTGAGCTTAGCTATTTATACCCTTTATGCTGCAGATTGCATCGGTATAGATTTTTCCCTGGGATTATATTTTATATTTTGTAATTCTATGCTTGTAATTTTCTGTTTGTCTTCCTCCTATGATACTTCACTCCTTCCAAGTCTATTTTTGGAAGGGTGGGAATGTTGTTTTATGCTGGTCGACGGCCGAAATAAAAGCGAGCAGGCTAACAAAGGCGGTGTCTGAGCAGAGACCAGCCTGCTTATTTATTTATGTTGGTGAGGCTGGCATCCTGCCTTTCCTTCAGGGCTCAAAATGCATTCACAGCACTCCTTCCTCCTATTTTCCCACAGAATGACAACCCTGTGAGGTAGGCTGGGTTGAGAACCAGCGGCCCCAAGCCCCCCAGGGAGATTCTGTGGCTGAGGGTAGACTCGAACCCATGTCAAGAGTCCAAGTCTATTATTATTATTATTATTATTATTATTATTATTATTATTATTATTATTATTATTATT